TTTATCACAACCTCAATCGTAACCCGAGATAAATATATATATATATATATATCATGTAAATATATAAAGGGAGCGCTATCCCCACTGCATTAATCATAGATAACCCCACAAATTATAATTCCACGCGCGTCGCGCTTGGTCACGCTTTACTATACGTGAGTCTATCGAAACTGATCAACTTGTGCAATTTTTAACTGTGCTATTTATGTCCTAAATGCAATATGCCCGCTGCACAACCTTGTTGTTGCTCGAGGCATGCGTTCTAAAACCGAAGGTTGACTCGCCTGACGCTCTGAGCTGATAACAGCAGCAGCGTCGTTTCCAGTTCTCTTCACACATCGTCCTTGCCGCGAGCGCTTCATTCACCTCTCCGATCTTCCTTCTAGTCACGTCAAGCCATAAGTTAGAAACGCCGCTCGCAGACCCACGCACGGAAAGGACAGCGTAATAAATCACGGTATATTGAGCCGTTGTGAATTCCCTTGCTGACAGATCTTATGTTATTAACGACGAAGGGACCTTACGCACGTTCTTTACGATCCGCAATAGACTGTGTGTGTAGTATGTGAAGCATGCGGGCACACCCGCCGCCATTATACCTCGACGTCCCACTATCTATCGTTGATCAGAGAAAGATTTCGCATTTTGATAATGCCATAATGAATCGATAGCTAACAAGAGAGTGAGGAAACTTGGCGTTATATAATACGTTTAGTGTGGCCGCTTGATTTCATTTTCCGAGCATTTTTGCAGGTGTTTGTTGCGCCATATAATTATATAAAATTATAATTATATAAACATTATCAGAATATTACGATCATGATAATAATCATGAGCATGATCGTGTTTAGTCGGAGAGTAAATCATTAGCCCTCTGCTTCTCATCACAATGGGATATATGAATGTAGCGGAGAGGAGAAAGAAAGGTCTGGAAAATAATAGACTGAATACCGAATGAATTCTATGCCAGACTAATCCTAACGCTACGTAACTACGGACGATGCCACAGATTAGAGAGGATGGAAAGCACCCGCGCTGGGCTGCTGGTGAAGCGCTCTGCATGGCGCATAAGAACTTCCTAATCACAGACCTTAACTCGGTTCGCGAAAACTAAGTTCCAGCGTGCCTTTTGTAGTATGGTATGATACAAGAGCTACAAGAGCTGTCGCTTCGCACCCTCGCCTTATGCGAGATTACACGCTGTCATTCCGAATGGAGTATATATTACGAGAAGATGCCGTTGTTGTAATATAATGCATGTGAGTATAGAGAATGAAGCATACGATAGCATTCGTTGCACGTCACGTTAAATCATCCCAATGATTCAAATGCCCGCACATGGTAGGTGACAATGACTATTCTATAGTAAGTCGCCTCTTATCTACACAAAACAAATGCCCGCACACAACAGGCGACTACGGCTATTCTATGGCAAGTCGCTTTCAATTACCTTCGAGGACTTTGTAGAACCACTCAGAGTCTGACGTCGTGTAATCGTATCTGCGAGACAGGTCAATTGACGAGACTCCGGCGTTCCTGCGGAAGGCGTACGGTGCGAAAAGTCGCACACCATCTCGATATCCATCCTTGACGAAAGCAATCGCCGAGCCGTAGATCATCTGGCGCGATCGCACGTTGCTTGTCACGATAGCATAGAGCAGGTCGTCAAAGTCATCGTTCGTCTGCAGGTCGGGGTCCCACAACTGACCGACGAGAGTGGCCGCCTGCACGGCGATGTTGGCTTCGAGCTTCCAGCGGTCGTTGTCGAGGTGCACGGGCAGCACCGTGCCCGTGCCGCGCACGCACGTTGTCGCGTTCGTCTGCGCGAGGAAGGCAAACGTTAGGTCGACGCTATCCGCAACCGCCGACGCCGACGCCGCCAGCAGGCCGAGTAGAAGCAATGCCGCTGCGAGAAACTTCATCGCTTATGTACGTTCTACTCCGTCTGTCCGCGCTCTTATTTCAATGGATGTATTCGGTCTAGCGGCCGTTAGATTGGTGTGTGTGTGCTCGTCGGGCAGTTACAGCGATGATACTTTGCGATGCGGCTGCTGGTGACGTTATAACGCGACACGGCCTACTGCGACGCACACGCCTTCGCGATGGCGAGGCATTTTAGGGATAGGCGGGCCATCAATTTGCGGAGTCACCGGAGAGTCAAAGGAATGCTGATTAAAAGCTTGGTAGGCCGCCGCCGGACTGCTAATGCCAAGGTGTTCCGCCGAGGTATGTCCATCGGTAAGCCGTGCTTCGGAGTACGAATTAGGGCCATCACCACGACAGCAGTGCCTATGATATGTATGCAAAGGGCCTTGGGTACTGCGTGCAAATCTCGTATACGCCCCAGGGTATGCGCTGCACGGCATCGGGCAATAGCGCCACTTATGCCGAAGGGTTGAACGGCGATCGCTTTTATTATTTTATTATTATTTTATGAAGGTTAAACTATAAAATATTGCTTTGAACTTTTGTCAACGTTGCGAAGAATATGCCGAGCGAAATATTTCAATGAAGGGGTAAAACTCGCTTAACTGCTCAAAATCGCTAAATCGCTAAACTAGGTGATAACTATATGATCAAGAAAAAAAGCGACACCTGATACTAAAGAATACCGGCTGGTACTTGACTGTAAAAGGTTTACTGTAGGACCTTTTTTAATTTGTTAAACAACTAATGTTACATCGGCTGGCGCATGCAACACAAACATTCCCGGCTCTTCCCTAACGCGCTCGCGGTTTGTGTCGAGGTATTTCTAAAAGCCAGATCAAAACGCGTTTGTTAATGTCAGGCTGGCTCTGCAGCATTGCTCGACGGGCGCACGCAGTGACAGCTGTCGTGCCCCCAGCAAGATTTCAATGGTTTTTAAACTCATGTAACTTTTAAATGAGACTTCCAATCGTTTTACGATGATCGAGTTGTTGTCATGAAGGGTTTTGACAACGGATAAGCAGGCTTGATCGATGGCATTCTGACACATGCGACAGAAATGACAATTACATCGGTAAATTTTTTGAGTCCGTGTTTCAACTGAAAAAATGTACTTTAACCATATTAACGACTTATTGAGCAGTTGTGACACCTGGAATGGCGCAAACCGACTAAACGTAGGTAATTATCACTGAATATGTCATCTATCACACAGAAAAGCGTCCCGGCATGAGTGGAAACCCGTGGCAGTAGTGCACAACACCTAAATATATTTCCCTATACCTCGCTGACTCGCCGTGTATAACTGCCAGTTGTCCCATTACCTGTTGTAAGAAGTAGTATGAGTATGTTGCGGTTGGGTCAAGGATGCTTTGGTAGTTCAAGCTAGTTCTGATCACTCCCACTCAGTTTTTCATCGGCTGGCCCACGAGCTAATTAGGAGTAGAGTAAAGATCTAGTCGATAATTAGGAGTTAAGTGGTTAATGTCATGTGACGGAACAATGACTATTATTTGACCCGGACGTAATTAAAGGATCATTATCGAAGCTGTCAGCTTGCTATAGTATATCTGCAGTTGTAAGAGGCTTGGTGAATTATTAACCCGTTGTATGTTCCTTTAGTAATAAACCTATTCATTATCGCATAATCTTACGCCAACAGCAGCAGCAACATCAGACTTGCCCCACATCACTCGTGAAGCGCGCATCCTTCGGGTTTCTAAATTAGAGATATGGGTTTATCTGATATCTTTGTTACACGTCATGGATTTGGGTTGAAACAAGAGGGCGTCCCGGCCAACCCACAACTACAAAGGACGAAAACAACTGTTATACTATGAAAACTGATAGGTCTTCATTTTTGTCTGAAATAGACATTTGCGAGTCGGATAATTATGTGTCTTAATTTACATGTGGCATTTAACATTTCGACCTGCAGCCTATAAACACAATACGCGCGACTTTCCGGTAACAGCCCCACATGGTGTAAATAGAAACATAATATGATCCTTCGGGACGTGAAAGTTACCTCCCGAGTAGTTTTTTGCCTTAGGGAACGTACGCTTACTACGAGCTCTACATTAGCCTAGCTGAGCAGGTATATATAGGCAGTCTGGTCACTTGTAACGCATGCCTGCTTTTCGCCATGCACTGCATTTGGGGCATGGCCGGTAGCCTTGGTGGTTAGCCGTCTTGTAAGGTGTGGGCGTCTTAGTCGGAATGTTAGTAAACAGCGCTCGCGCATTTGTGTTATTTTTCATCGATTAGGCGTCATTAGTATGTTTTTACGACCTTGAGGCTCATCCTATTCCCCAGGCGGACTACGCGTCATTATTATCCGTATATTAATATAGTGCTTATCGTAAGGTGAAATGACTGATAAATAATTACCAGAATATACATAGGACCAAAAAATTAATCACTGAATGGTCTAATATCGCACAAGGTTGCCAGAATAGTGAAATACGCAGTATTCTAATACGCTAACAAGCTACGAATTGTAGAATTTAATTAAATGCATGAGGGTGCCATGCGGCTATTGTGTAAGTGACTGGATGTCTGGCTGTAGAAGTTAAAATTTTGCAATCATTTCCCCTTTATTTAAAGTAAAAGACCCAGGTCCGGCTGGAATCCAAGCATAAATTTAATTTCCTTAGTACTATGGAGAAAGAGTCACGGTGTTTATATGAAGCAATAATAAGGAGAAACTTGGAATCAACGTACAAGGAAAGTTGTGAAAGAACAGTGAGTCAAAAGGCGTGCATATTTAAGATTGTATTGTTCGTCAGACCTAGCGGCCAATCCATATAGGTAGTGAGTAAACTCTCTATGCTTCTATGAGTCACTCATTAAAGTGAATGTCATAGATCTGATTCAAAGCACAAGCGCTGTCGGCCCGCCCGGCTCCACTTTAAACATATAAGAACGGCCGAAGAAAATTCTCTTGTCAGGCAACGGTGACCGACGCACGAGCGCCATCGTCATGTACATTAATATAGACATAGCTGTGAAACCAGGGCGTGATGCTGCGACCAATGTGAATATCATAGATTGGAGTTTATCAAGCACGCCTGCTGTCGGCCCGGCCCGCTCCACTTTGAATGTATAATAACGGTTGAAGACAATTCTCTTGGCAGTCAACGGTGACCGATGCACGAGCGCCATCTACCGGTATATTAATATAGGCATAGCAGGGAACCCAGGGCGTGATGCTGCGAGAAAAGTGAATATTATAGTACGGATTTTACAAAGCACACGTGCTGTCGGCCCGCCCCGCTCCACATTGAACGTATAAGAACGGCCAAAGACAATTATCTTGGCAGTCAACGGCGACCGACGTCGGAGCGCCTTTTTCATGTACATTATCATAGCCGGGAACACAGGGCATGATTCTGCAAGCAAAGTGAATATTATAGGTCCAATTTTACCAAGCATACGTGCTGTCGGCCCGCCCCGCTCCGCTTTGCACGTATAAGAACGGCTGAAGGCAATAATTATCTTGGCAGTCAACGGTGATCGATGCACGAGCGCCATCTACCGGTACATTAAAATAGGCACAGCAAGGAACCCAGGGCGTGATGCTACGAGAAAAGTGAATTTTATAGTTCGGATTTTACAAAGCACACGTGCTGTCGGCCCGCCTCGCTCTACTTTGAACGTATAAGAACGGCTGAAAACAATTATCTTGACAGTCAACGGTGATCGATGCACGAGCGCCATCTACCGGTACATTAATAAAGGCATAGCAGGGAACCCAGGGCGTGATGCTGCGAGAAAAGTGAAAATTATAGATCGGATTTTATTAAACACACGTGCTGTCGTCCCGCCAGGCTCCACTTTGAACGTATGAAAGCGGCGGAAAAAATTATCTTTGCAGTCAACGGCGACCGACCTCGGAGCGCCGTTTTTCATTTTACGTTAGCATTGAGGCGAACCCAGGGCGTGATGCGGCGAGCAAATTAACATTGCCGTGTTACGCACCACGTCAGTGCTAGCAGTAGAAACTGTAGTAAATAGTATAGCAGCAGTTGAAGCAGCAGCAGCAATATAGAGAAACATTGCGCTATGACCAATACATCGGCTTAAATGTGGGAAAGCACATTTTTACGCAAATAGTTAGTGTCCGTACTTAATCTCTGCTTCTCAACGGGATCATGCGATATGTGGGACTACCGTTTTGCTCTGTGCATGGTAGTCCCGCAGCGAGAGTTACATACACAACTGTTCTTTCTAATACAGGTGGTCAGTGGGAAATGTCAACTAACCAGAATCGAGTACAAGAGGTGGCTCTTTCTAAGGCACAGATTTTATCGAGCTAGCCAAAATAGCTGCGTGAAAAAATCACGCGACACAATGAACAAGTGAAAATAGTCCAATGAAAATGACCAGGCTGAGGTTTTTTAGGCCACGAAACCTTTCAGGTGTGCACTGCAAATGTTTGCTATATAGAACACTTATCAGTCAAATGGGTCAGGAGAGCGCGTTGCCTTTAGGTTATAGGCTAGATAATAAAACAAGGCAAATAATACAGGTGTGTACGTAACTGAGTGCGCGCATGCGTGCAAGCTTGTTGGTGAATGTAAAATATAAGCGCTTGTTATCTCCAGTATAGTTATAATTATCGTACGAAATACCATCGTGCTATACTTGATTTGGCCAATTGTATATAATTGTTCATGTTGCAGGTATGACACCGTTATCGTAATTTATGTACTCTAGTTTCCGTTTTGGTTCGTTGGTATTTTCACATTAATTATAAACCACTTGGAGTCATGTTACTTTCTTGCTTGTCTAGATCTGGCATTCGACTGTTTTCCTTTATATTACTGTCTCTCAGGCTGTCTAAAGATGGTCAAAGTCATAATAAGGAAATAGATTGGAATATTCTACATTCATATGCGTATATGTATAGCCATTTTGAACAAATACAGGAAAATACTCACGAGAAATAGATTAGATTTCTGAAATAGTATTAGATGTGTATATAGTATTAGATGTAGAATGATTTACCTAACTTTATATCAGGTGTTAACGTTGACGTTTCCACACATGCAACTGTGATAGTGACCACGGTTTTCATGGAAGTCCGGATTTTCATGGAATGACGTGTTCCACTAACTTTTCGCACGGCCTCGTGTATCGCAGGCCGTCAATGACAGCACCATTCTTTACGGTATTGCTTGCCGGATGTATGGCGCTTGTTTCACCCTAACACGTATTACCAGTTATGCACCAGTTACCTCTCTGCAATTTGGAGTCCGTGCAACCGGTAGAGATAATTGCATACGTAACAAGCATTTCATTGCTCTCACATTTTTCAAATAAATAAACGCCCGCAAAATCTACAAGTTAAATAGTTTCGTGGGTATATATCTAGTCAACAGTAACATTAACTACACAGGTGAACGGCTCTTGATCCAATCCAATTGTACGTGTTTTATGTTATTGTATACGAGCATAGAAATAATGTCTGCAGGTCATTCGGATAGTGGCTAGCGTTCGTCTCGCTTTAATACCTTATAAGCTTGAAGCGACGCGGGCTCTTTGTCTGCAAGCGGCCGACGGCATAAGCTGGCCTGCCACAACCACGGATCAGGGGTTGCAACCACTAGCTGCCGCGACGGGTCGAGTTCGCATTTATAGGAGATGCTTGGCTGGTCACGGCAATACATCCCCCCTATACCATGCGCTCACGTACGCGAATAAATAGTCCACAGTTTCACTTCCTGGTCCGCATCGCAGTACTGCACAAAGGAGAGCTCAGCGCGCAAGCATGATCGCACACCATGAGTTCATGAACCGTACGTGCACACACTCCACGCTAGCAGAGATGCATCACGGGCACACTCGTCCCGCTGGTAGAGATGTGCAGTCTATGCGTTAGCTTCGTGAGCGCTCGCGTGTACGGCGCCAGCAGTAGAATATAGTTGCCTATATACAGTTTGTTTTAGCGATCCCCGTCACAATCTACGGTCGGAGGCGACGGCATTATGGTAACGTCAACATGTTATCTATACGGTAAGAGGCCATCATCCTTATTTCAATCGGTTATATAAAAGGCTAGATGACGACATATATGTAGAATGTAGTAATACCAGCTCGCTAAGTTCCATCAGGGAAATGGACGCATGCGTAATGTGAACAGGAATTTATCTAGCAAATTGCATGACTACTGTAAATAAATTCAATGTAAGCGTGAAGTGCATTTTTGTTTCGTCCTGTACATTGAATATATATAATGCAGTTTCTAAAGTTGATTTTCGTGTATATTCAGTCGAGGAAATGTGACAGGAGTGACCACTACACACGGAAGAACCTCGTGCTGAGTACTGCACTACGAACACGCGTAGAGAGTGTAAGGAATTTCCACACACGCAGTCGTCTACCCATGCTCTAACACACGCACACACACACACACACACACACACACACACACACACACACACACACACACACACAACGCACGGCACACACGACACACACACGCCAAGCGAGCACACGCACCACAAACACACACACACACACACACACACACGCACACACACCAACAAAGAGGAGAGAGAGAGAGAGAGAGAGAGAAAGACGCACAACAAACGAGTACATATCGAGATAGAGAGAGCAAGGAACATTCACATCGGTGCCCCCGTCAACCTCTTCGCTCGTGCTGTAAGAACGCCGACCCGGAAGCTGTGAACCTGATCGCCGGCGAGTGATACGCCTGACGACGAGAGAGTCACGCCAGCGCTCTGCCATCATGCTGTACCAGATGAACATACGCATGCGCTGGCGACGCATTGCTCTCGTGCTCGTCTACGTCGCCATGTTCGGCGCGTTTGTCATCGTGAGCGACTCGCAAATAGAGAAGAGCTACTACGACGTCGCCAACGGCCAGCCGAACAGCAGCAACGCGTCGGCGGCGGAACGGCACCAGGGAGCGCCGGCGTCGCTTACGACGATGTCGACGGCGGAACGGCACCAGGGGGCGCCGGCGTCGCTTACGACGGTGTCGGCGGCGCGCTCGGGAGCATCCAGGTGTCCGGTGCGCTTTCCCAGCTTCGTCGACGTCAGGATGAACAATTTCATGTGGCAGCGCGTGCACGAGATGGACATCTTTCTCTACGCTGCTTACTACGACGGCCGACAGGTGGCGACACGCGGCCAGCGGTTCGTGCGCGTGCTCGGTATGAAGGACATCTGCGCTCTGCCGCCGATGTACTGTCAGCTGTGGTACGAAGGCGAGCGCGCGCCCCACGTCGTCAAGGCGAGCCAGCAGTGGCTCTGGTTCAACTGCAAGGAGGCGATAGTGCCGAACGAGTACCACGCGATCATGTACACGTGCCGACTGCCGCGTCGGCGCGGCGCCGTCCTACCTAGATTCGTTAGCGTCGCGCCGCTGCCGTGCACGCCGGCGACGAACGCGCTCGCCGTGAGCGGCCGCGAGCCGCCGCCGGGGGGCGCCGCCGCGCGGCAGGACTTCGGCGTCTGCGTGAAGGGGCTGAACTTTCTCGACGCCGACATCAGCGAGCGACTCGTCGAGTGGATCGAGATGCATCGTCTGCTTGGCGCGCAGAAGATCTTCTTCTACAAGTACGACGTGACGCCGGCGATGGACGCAGTGCTGCGTCACTACGAGCGCGTCGGCGTCGTCGACGTCACGCCGCTGACGCTGCCCGGCGCGCATCCGAACGAGCCGCGCATGCGCAGCATGTTCGTCAGCAACAACTCGTGGCAGGCGTGGCTCATGGAAGTGTTCGTCTACACGGACTGCCTCTACCGGAACATCAACACGTACCGCTACCTGGCGGTGGTCGACATCGACGAGATCATCGTGCCGCGGCGCGGCATGACGTGGCAGACGATCATGGCGGCGATACGCGAGTCGGAGCCGAACATCGACCGCTACGCGTCCTACACGTTCCGCAACGAGTACTTCCTCGACCAGTTCTTCGTGGCGCCGAGCGATCGCTTCCCGCCTTTCATGCACGCGCTGCAGCACGTCAACCGCTCGGCGAAGCTGTCGCCGAAGGGCGAGGACATCAAGTCGTTCGTGAACACGCAGGGTGCGCTCAGCGTCCACAATCACTGGCCGCTGCAGCTGCTGCCAGGCTACGAGCCCGTCACGTACTGGGTGGACGAGTCGGTGGCGCGCATGCAGCACTACCGCAGCACGTGCTCGACGGTGAACGAGACTGCGTGCGACCCATCGTACACGGGCGACGTCGTCACGGACACGACCATATGGAAGTACGCGGAGCCACTGGTTCAGAATGCGCTGCGTGCGACGGAGGCTGTGAATAATATTCTAGCGACCGAGTGACGAATGAATCAGGAACGGCGCAAGATGTGAGATAGAGAGAGAGGGGGGAGAGAGAGAGGGGGGAAAGAGAGAGGGAGAGAGAGAGGGGGGGAGAGGGAGAGAGGTAGGGAGAGAGAGAGAGAAGGAGAGAGAAAGCGCGCGCGCGAGAGGAAGAGAAAGAGATATAGAAAGGCAGAGAGAGAGAGAGGGAAAAAGAGGGAGAAAGAGAGCGCGCGCGAGAGAGGGAGAGAGCGAGAGAGAGAGAAGGAGAAAGAGAGAGCTCGCGCACAAGAAAGAGCGCGTGAGAGAGCACGTGTGAGCGAGAGAGAGCAGACGGAAAGGGGTGATTGACAGAGCACGCGAGAGAGTATGTGCATGGGGGAGATACGTGAGAGGCGGAAAACCCATTCACGAGATAACTATAAACTATAAAACTCACCACGAATGAAAGATTAGACGAGGGCGTCGGCAAGTAACAAATATAACTTTACTATGAGCCGGGTAACATGATATAATATCGCGTGATATAACCATGAATTAGTGCCAGTTAACTCAGCAGTTCCTCGTAACATTCGCACTAAGCAACGTCGCTATATATATACGCTGCATTTACTCATCATTCTATTTCGCTTTGCGCCACTAAGTCAAATGAGGTCGGTTGTACATACCATGCAGCAAGCTTTTCCAGGATTTAAAAGTAGATTACAGAAATTATTAAATAAATTATAATTATATATACATATGTATTGAATGCGTGCCTTGCTTTACATTCACACACATGCACAAAATATATGACAAGAATTGACTGACATCTGTGGCGTATGTCGTACGATATACGTAAATCGTAACTAGCTATTATGTTAAGAATATTTAACTCAAAAAACTATTTAAATGTTTTTTCAAGACTTCAAGACATAGATGAGGTAACCATAGGTACGCATAGCAAGTAGTATTGTCTTACACACGTCATCTTAAACTATTAAGCCTGATATAATATTGTATAGACAAAACACAACATAACTAGATCGCACATTAAGGTACCCATCTAGTTATGAATTCAAGATAATTGCACTTCATGATACATGAGCCTATTCCATTCATATGAGCCATTGAATTTCGCCTCGTAACGTACTCAACGAAACCGATTCAGAAATGGCGTTCGACTGTCTCGCTATATGGGTCGTCTCTAATCTTGAGCTCCTCAATAGCGCGTGACTATCAAGGTCATGATCACGTTCGAGTGTGCGGGTCAATGCCTAACGCAAGACATAATTAGAACTACATAATAGACATGACTGATTTGTACTGTTAATGTAGGGTGATATAGCTATGTCGTGAGTTTTGTTCAGCGGCCTAATTTTTATTCGCTTTAGGCGTAGACTTTCCGGCCTCCTTACTTTTCTTCTCCATTTCCTCAAATGCCTGCAGAGATAGAATGATCGCCATTTGAACTATGCAGTCACCGGTGCCAAACTGTTTAAGCACCACCAAATATATGCCTCTGTACATTTCGACGTCTAATTGTCTCGTTTAATATTAACAGCGTCAATGCGATAATTTTGCGATATCAATGGTGCTCCTACCTTCAGTCTTGCCATTACCGCACCAGTTGCGTTCGGCATGGGCTTGGCCTCTCTGTCGGGAACTGTAACCGTATATTCCACCATCTCAAAGTTCTTCTGAATCGAATACCGCCAGTACCATCATTAAAGACAAACCATGTAAGTATTGTACTTACATATTGTGCACACACACACACACACAGGCACACAACCACCACAGCACGCACGCGCGCAAGCCGAGCCGGCGCGCAGCGGCACACAAACATAATATCATAACCATCGTAGTATCATAGGATTTTCATATGGTATGTGTATACACTACAAGATGCGCGCGCACACTACACACACAACACAACACACACACCCACACCACGCGCCTGCGCGGGGCGACACGACACATAACGCGCGCACGAGACACACACACACACACACACACAACACACACACACACACACACACACACACACACACGCACGCCGCGCGCGGCCGCCACACACATAATATATATTATATATATATATATAATATATATATATTATATATATATATATATATATATATGTATTTATACGCGTAATATCTTTCAAGAATATACATTAGGGTAGAAGAAGATTATATACACACAGCATATATTTCTCGAGGTACGTGTATCACGTTTTGTGCTAATAATACTTGCTGCTAAATCATTACATGTCTCTCCAACTTGCATAGGAAGATGCGTATTACCTTTTGTAGCGACTTTTTTGGTGATATTGTTATCGCTAGTTCGCTAGTGTGAAGCTTCTTTGGTTCGTCATCTTTGGTATTCGATTTCTTGATGTCATCCTTCCGTATTTTTTCTATATCTTCGCGAAGCTTCTTGACGGTGCTTCTAGTAGACACAAGTTGCTCGTTTTCTTTTCGCAGCTCACTCTCTAGCTCCTAATAATATAGACGCATATAAAAGACGGATATATCCCTTACACGCACACTCCTTTACGTACAGTGGTGAGGCATAATTGAATCAAATTGAGATATATTCTAACGATAAATACAGTATGTAGTCCGGATAATAAATATTATTGGATACATGTCAGAATTACCTACGTTTATCGCCCAGCCAATACAACAAATCTGAAATAGCCCATCGGTGATAAATGTAACCAGAGATGTACTGCACCATAATTACGTTGCAAATGTTTTACGTAAACAGATTATACGCAAGACATTTTATCCTTATATGTGTTCGTGCGAGCGTGCGTGCGCGTGTATGCGTATGTATGTGCGTGCGAGTCTGAATATGTCCGTGTATGCGCGTGTACGTGTGCGTGTGTGCGCGTATACATGTGTGCTGTTGTTGTTGCACATACATAGGTGACACCATGTCGAAATAGAGACATGCAGACTAAGCGTAGAATTAGCATGACGCATCAAGCCAGTACACATACCTTTATATCTTCGTTCACTTGCGCATTCTTTCCGCGCCAACCTTTTGTGTTATCTCGTCTTACTATCGCATCGTTTAATCGTTGCGTCAAAATTTTGACCTGTGAGTACATTTGCCTTCATACAACGACAGAGCTTCACACAGAAAAAGAGTAAAGGGCATGCATCAGAGGCCTCATTAAATTAGAGAGAGCCTCGATATTTCATATACGGTACACAGAATGCACAGCAGTAGAGGTGTAGAGGAAACGAAAAGAGAGGAAATATAATAAGAACAAGGCTCGCTGCAGCTGCCATCTTGCGGAAAAAGTGCGACCAGCATTTTAACAAATAAAAATGTCAATCGTTTAAAATATCTGCATAGAAACAGACCGTGCATGAAATTAAGGATATGCCATAAAATAAAGTCATACCTGCTGTTCACTCGCGTCCTGTCTTGCTTCTTCATTTTTCGACTTCTCTTCCTTTCGCTTCAGGCGTACATCGGCGAGAATTGGGTTTGGGGTTTGGTGTAATAATTCATTATCCCCGTATGGAAACGCACCTGAACAATACACGCATGTAAGCGCGTTGTTGCGTATAGTGGTGGAAAGAGGAGTTCTCTAAATTAGCAATGCTGTCTTACCATCCATCGTTATTATTTCAATACGCGGATGTATTTAAATGTGTTTCCATTATCCCGCGCAGCACCGCGAATGATCGCCACAATGTGTTGAGAGCCCTTCTAATCGTGTAAATATGCGGAACGTACTTGTAGATGAGACGACTATGCCAGACTCTCTGCTGCCTAGGCGAAGCAGCAGCCTGTCCTTAGCCGGTGTCGCAGCGTGTTCAGTAACTACTGTTTCATGGACGACCTTGGCAGCATGCACCTATAGTGCGAGCGAAACAATACGCATTACTAATAGTCACTTTACTAGTTTGGAGACCCCGTTATAATTACATACGATCTGAAATAGAGCACACGTTGTAAAGGAAATGCAGTGGGTGTATCTGCTTGCTACAGTGTTACAAATAGAGTTAGTTGAAACTAACAGCTACTGATGACACTTTACGAGGGTGCCGCTGAATCGTCATTGAGTCACACACTCAATCGCAGTCGTTGAGCCATTAATATATGCACAACGTTTTCGTCACTGGACTATACGACATGTTTCTCTGAGAACACTTTGATCAGCTAGTTTCAGTAAATATAGATCCATGTGTATAGTAAAGTACGCGTTCTTAGTCGAAGTACTTTACTAGAATGAAGGTCTACAAGGAAGTACCTTATTAGTCTGAGCGGTCGGGGATCGCGCAGGACTCGGAGGCTTGGCTTTGGACGTTGGTTTTGTCGCCAGGTTCTCATACAAACGAAGCTTTTCATTGACGGAAACCCTAAAACGACAAGTAGATTGAATTGTTACAATACCTTCTCCCACATGTGCGCACGCATACACGCACGAACGCACGCACACACGCCAACACGCACACGTGCACAAACAAACTGACTAACACGCAGACACACACATACATACACACACACAAACACACACACACACACACACACACACACACACACACACACACACACACACACACACACACACACACACACACACACACACACACACACACACACACACACACACACACACACACACGAACACACACTACAC